GGAGAGCGTTGGGGCCCGGCTCTGGCGTCCGGGAACGATTGGCCGGCGGCGTCTTCTGTCCCGACCCCTGCGACCTCCGGACCAGCAGGGGGCCCGCGCTGCCCTCCTCCATCCGTGTGGTCCCCGGAGGAGCGCTTTCCATTCCTTCGCCAGCGTCTCTTCGGTGTTCACAGCTTGCTTTTCAAAATGCCTTCCTCGCTGAGCTCCGTCGTGTCTAGTTTTTTCATTTAAAGTGAGAGACGCAGGATCCTTCCTTTCACTCGCGCACTTAGGGGCCGCTGGGGGTGGTTAACTGGCCTGACTTCAATATTGCTGCATCTCAGGGACTAGGGAGGCCCGAGCAGAGGGGGGGGGGAGGGGCGGTCAGAGCACACCTGAGGTGTAGCCATTAAATCCATCTTCTCCTGTGGGTGCAGCTCGTGCCGCCCCATAACAGAGCAGTCACATCCAGGATCCCCAGTCAGCTTACCAGGCCTGATGTTAAATGAGAAAGTCTGGAATATTGCACCACTGACCAGACTTGTTAGATGTAAGGCTGCCACAGACCTTCGGTACCGCCCCCCCCCCCCCAACAGAAAGTAAGGTTTGCCAAGCGCGATAAAACCGAGGTATGCCTGTGTGACAAAGGGTGGGGAGCGCCCCGCTCCTCCACAGGGTTCCTGCAGGTGCAGGGTTCCTAAAGTGAAGGTGCTCGCTCTTCACACGGTGTCCTGCACCTGCTTTTCTGGGCGGTCCTGCCTGGTCCCTGCGTTTGGAGCGACTTCGTGCTTTGTGACGGCCGAAGCGCCTTTTGCATTGTTAGGGTTCAGTGCTGGGACGGTTATGGCGCTGCTGTCCTACCTGATCACCTCGGGGTCCTTTCTGGGGAAGTTGCTGGCCGTCATGGCGTGAGGACACGCGCCCCCTGTGCTGACACGGCGCCAGGCTTGGGGGGGGTGGGGGGGCGGTGGGTAAACCGACAAGAGTGTATTTAGATGCAAGGAGATGACTGGTGCAAATAAATCCCGGGGCTAAGGCCGCGGTGCTGCAGGAGAAGCCGGGCCACGTGTAGTCACCGTGGGGCCACGGCGCTCCTCGTGGGCGTCCCGTGCCCCAGGGGCTGGGGCTAGGCCGTCTGTGGTGACGGCCGTGCTCACGGGTCTGTCCACTTCTCTGAGCGGAACCAGGAGACGCGGTGCAGGCGCTTCGGGAGGGGGGATGGGGGTGGCGGCCTAGGTCTCACGTCACTGCTGTTTCATGCTGTTTCAGATACAGCCAGGCGGATGCCCTCAAGTACGTGGGCATCGAGAGAGAAATGGAAATCCCTTGACATCTGCTACCTCCTCCTCCCCCTCCTCCTTTCTGGAACAGCTGCCTTAGCTTCAGGAACCTCGAGTACTGTGGGCAATTTAGAGAAATTAAATGCAGTTTGAAATTCTGAATTTGCAAAGTACTGTAAGAATAATTTATAGTAATGAATTTAAAAATCAACTTTTTATTGCCTTCTCACCAGCTGCAAAGTGTTTTGTACCAGTGAATTTTTGCAATAATGCAGTATGGTACATTTTTCAACTTTGAATAAAGAATACTTGAACTTCTGCCTGGTGTCGTCACTGATCATACAGAACTGTCAGCTGGGGGGGCGGCGGGGGGGGGGGTCGCTCACCGTGAACTCCGGGCGTGTGTGACATGTCTTGCTGGGAGTCCTGATTTCAATGCTGTTACCTGTGAGTATGAATTTGCCCAATTATTACAGACACACAACGTGACAAGACACTGGCGCCCGGAGGCATCAACGCCTCGTTCTCTGTATAAACAGAGCCGAACAGGTGGCCATTCAGAAATGCAACAGTGTGAGGAGACTCTACTGAGGAGTCCCCTTTACTGCTAATTAGGGGCAGACACACAAGGTAGTCAAATCCCCAGTCCCAAAGTCCCAATGTGGGTGCTTCCCTCACCGCCACACCCACCTCCGGTGCCCGGGGGGGGGGGGGGGGGGTGGGCATCAGGGACAGAGCTTTCAGAGAACTTGGGAACATCCCCATGGACCATTCCCAACGCACGGCCACAGCCTCACAGGGGGCCTGTTGGCCAGCGCAGTGGCGCTGGTCCTAGAGCGCTCGCCCCCTGGCTCTGGCCACAGGCAGACGATCCGGCTCTGTCGGCACCATCTGCCTCTGGCCCCCGGAGCGACTCCGGCAAACCCCACGGCGCCACGAGCAACCTGTTTGTCAAAATTCCTTTCAATCCGTATTTAGTAGTTTCGTGGGAAAATGTGCAAACTACAATCCATTCAGAAGCTTTTTTTTCAGTATTGTCCAGGTTTATTCTGTCTCCAGCCTTCACAGTATCCATTCAGTGACTGAGTCCTGGTTCCCACCTCGGCCTGAGATGATGTGTAAGGGCCCTCACCCCTGCTGGCCGCCACCCACGCGGGAAGCAACAAATTGTGGAATTTAAACCTGTGACAGGTCATCAAGAAAGGTTCCTAACGTGAACATTTTCAAAGAATCTAAGTATTCCGTTGAAAATTTTACGAGCTTTGGGCTCCTACTGGAAATTGCTGACAACGCTGGCTTACGCCGCCGCCTGCGCCCGCTGCCCCGTGAGGGTGGGTGCCGTCCCCGCTAGTGGCAGTGGGCCAACAGAGCAGGTGGGTGGAGCTTTTTACAAACTAGAACCTCCATAAATTCGCTCGAAAGTCCACACTCGCCTGTCAGAGCAAGGTCTGTGGTCCGCCACCGAGAAGGGCGTGAGCTGGTAATACAGTCAGGTCACCTGGACACCCACGTTACTGGGGTTCCTAGAACGATGGTCTCCACCAGAGGGGGGATTCCGTTCAGAGACAGGGAGGCACATTTGCTTTTTCTTCCGGGGGCGGTAAATCCTTGAGTTCTTTCAAAGGAACATGGGACAGTGTTCAGTCAGGAGACAGGCCACCTTCAAATGCTCTGGCAACAGAGATACTTTTTCTTTTTTGCATTTACTTAAATCCCAGTTAACATCTAGCTACTAGAAAGATTTTGGGTTGCGGGTGCCCCCTCCCTGTTCCTCTGCATACTGGTCTCCCCTCACCCGCGCCCCAGGGCCTGTGCCGCGGCGTCCCTGGCCACTGTCCCCCAGAGGCGCCGACGAGGGACTGGCCGGCAGTCTGTCTACACAGGCATGTCTGACCGTGGCACCAACCCAGGAGGACCCGCTACTCTCACAGGCCGCGGCCCTACCTTGTGTGCCTCCTTCCCGGGCGAGAGGATGCAGTATCCACAGCCTGGAACGTGGTGGCGTTCCTTCAGCCGACGGCCCAGTGGCCTCTCCTCGGGGCCCTTCAGGACACCTGGGGGTCTCCCCTGAAGACTGGGGTTTTGGGATCCACTCCTGTAAGGGGAAGGCAGTTGGTCAGCACACAGGAACTGGATGGTGGGGGGTGGGGTGGGCGGGTGAGAAAGGCAAAGCACGTGGCTTCTTTCTGCCCCCCCCCCCCCGGAATGGTACACTGGCCTGACGGGGGCAGGTACGGTGTGTGGATGTGGGGGCCCCCGGGCTTAGCTGCCCCTCCGTTCCGCGTGTCCTGCCCTGTACCCAGGGGTGCTCGACCCTAGCACCGTCTCTTAAAATCTCTCCCGCCTTTAACAGAGCTCAAACACCGCGTAGCAAAGGGGCTCCGTGGTGTCTGCAGCATGAATGTCCCAGAGGCAGGTCAAGGCATGCTGGTGGGGAGAGGCCAGCAGGCACCGGGAGCCCGGGCACCCCAGGATCAGGGGGGAGGGGGCCTGGGGGGATGCTGGTTTTTGCCTGGTTTCTGGGGCGGTGGGCGTCTGTAAAAGTGGAAAAGTGACACTAAAGATGTCGTGGCAACTGACAAACTCAGTCTACTTACTGCTACTTTTAACCCATTCAACCTTAACTTTTTGTTTTAAATTTGTTTTTAAAATGTTTTATTTCTGAGAGAGAGAGAGACAGTGTGAGCGGGGGGGGGGGGGGNGGGTCGGAGAGAGAATGAGTCACAGAATCTGAAGCAGCTTCAGGTCCTGAGCTGTCAGCACAGAGCCTGACGTGGGGCTCGAACTCACGGATGGTGAGATCATGACTTGAGCTGCTTAACTGACTGAGCCCCCCAAGTACCCCCAACTTACAACTTTTTAAACTAACCTGTCAGGTCCAGATCGTTCCAAGAAACTGTGAGAACTTCCCTCTCACTTCTTTGGTTTGCGTGACCCTGACTCAGGGTGGGTGCAGGGCGGGCTTGGTCAAGGGCTCATCTCCCGGAAGGAGGCTGTGAGGTGTTAGGTGGGGTTCCCAGTTTCTACTGTCCTCAGGCCAGGAGGGACTGCAGAAGGGACTCTCCAGCAAGTGACACAGCCAGGGGAGTGCAGCCTAGAGCTTGGGGACCCCCGCGCCCAGATGGGTGCAGGGCACGCTCCCCCAGCCTCTGGTCTCCCCCGTTTACCAGGAGGCACGTGGAGGCAAGGCTGTGCGCATGGCCCGCCCCGGGGTGCTCGCCTTCGGACCAGCCCGTGGGAGGCAGGCCTTGCCAGTCTCCTGGGTCGGGGCCACAAGGGCGTCTTACCAGGAAAAGCTGGCGTGTTCTTCTCGAACGGCTGCTCCCTGTGTGCGGACAACTGGCTGGAACCTGGACGAAGGGGAGGCCGGGGGCGTGGGCTCCAGACAGGGCGGACCTGGCGGCGGGCGGCGCAGTCCCGCGCCAGGCCGCCCACGGCTGGGACGGGCTTCTCTCAGCCTGTGCTCTTAGCCCCTGCCTCTGGCCTCAGTTTCCCCACCACATCCTCACAAGTGTCAAACAGATTCAACACGTAATTGGGTTCTGGTCCCTGTAGAGAGTCCTAGAAAAGAGCAGGAGCGTCTGCGGGGAAAACTTTGTAAGAGGCTTCACATTTTAAGATGTTAAATTCTCGGTCCACAGAGCGCAGCCCGCTGGGCACGAAGACACAGGCTTGGAAATCTGCACAATCAGCATCTCTTATTTACATGCAGAAATCGGTGAAACTTAAAACAAAACCAGATGCCACTTGTACAGAAATTCTTTAATTTTCTTTATTTTCACACATTAAAAAATGAAACACACTATACAAATGGTTTTTCATAGCAGGGTACAACGTGGGTCCGTTAGACTTGCTCTCACAGGAGGTGCTGGCGACGCCGATGCCTCCGCGGACGCCGGCCCAGCCCCGCAGCCGGCGCACTGGTGTGGATGCAGTAGCATGCAGCCCGGGGGCGCGCCGCCCCCTCTTCTTAAATTAGGTTAAATGGCGTCGGTGTCCCTATTTACAGACTTGAAATGTGTCAATCCTGAGCAGTTCTGATGGACGTCGGAGACCAGTGGTGGGGGTCCTGGTCTCGGGTTTAAAAAGGGAGGTCCAGGTGGCGGCCGGCTGGCTGCTACGAACCGGAGTTGTTCTCGATCTCTCCGTCAGGACCGGTCTGCTGCGGGCTGCACAGTCAGACCCTTCCGGAAGGGTTAGGCCAAGTAGCTGTAGGTGTCCTTTTCACCATCCACTCGCTCCAAATACTCTTTCTCGATCAGAATGTCGATGCATTTCTGGGCATCATTTTAAAAAAGAAGTGGTGAAAGGGGAAAAGACCCCCACATTTATTACCCGAAGAGGTACCCCCTGCCCCCCTCCCCGGGAGTTCCCCTCCTCCACCGAGCGCTCAGCCGGGGGCACCTACAGTCCGTCCACTGCTTCCCTGAGCCAAGTCCCCTCGGTGCCCATTTCCTTGTCAACGTCGCCCAGGGTGACTGAGGCTTCAGAGCTGGCATGGGGCCGCGGGGAGCGGGACCTCGTGGCCGTTCTGTCTCACCTGGGGACGTCATCGGCAGGGATCGGGGGGCCGGGGGGACTCCCTGAACAAGCCGGCTCCTGGGCTACGTGTCATCCCAGGAGCTGGGGTTGGGGGCGGTCCTCCTGACTGTCAGGGTCTCCGCGCTGGCTCGGACCCAAGCGGTCGTGGACTCGCTATTCTCAGAGCCCCCTGAGCTGGGGGCGCCCACACAGCGAGGAGGGGCGCTCGGGAGCGGGCCTGCTGTGGGAGAGTCGGCCACAGGGGACCCGACGGGGAGCACTGGTCCTGGCTGGGACGCAGCGAGGGGGAAGCTTCTGGAATGCTGGTCACCTTCTAACTGCTGATTTGGGTCTTGGCTGTACAAGCGTATTTGCTTGCGGAGAATCAGCAAACCGGACACTTAGATTTGTGCATTGCCCCGTGTACGGATTTCAATAACAAGATTTGAAATGAAGCCCACTTCCTCTTGTGGAAACCTAGTATGTACGGACAGGCCAAGTGCCTCGCTTTTGCTACACGTCTCTCCTAAAGTGACACCTGGGCAGCTTCTGCCACGTGACTCCTGTACCTTGATGACGGGGACCCGCGGTTTGAACCTCGAGGACAGCTGGGTGAGCACTTCTCCAAGGAGCTGCTGGTGCTTCAGGACCTTGCGCATCTTCATGATCCTCACGATGGCCGCCTACGTCACCCGCGAGTCACCCGGGGAGGAAAAACCAGGGCGTTTCACGGTTACGGCCGTCCCGAATCACTCAGGACAACTAGCCAACCGGCCACCAGGAGCCGTGTCTGCGCAGAGGACTGCGGTTTCGTAAATGGTCACGAGCACACACAGGATACTGGCTTTCAACTCTAACGGGATAAACATCAGCAGGCTCGGGTCTCCTGGGCAGCTTTAATAATTTAACCCAACTACGGAGCATTTTAAAAATGAGAAAACATGTCCTGACATCATCGTACCACACGCTAACTGGGATGTTAAGTAGAAAACAGCTACTACCGCATCGGGGGGAAAAGAGGGAACACAGCGTCTTCGGAGCCACAGAAGTGGCCTCCCCGTGACACCCCCTCCCCGTTTCACATGAACTTGCCAGGTTCCCCGCACCCGCTCCCGGCCGCCCCACGACCCACGGAGCATCACCCTGTGAGGGTGGCCACCCCGTGCGGGCCCCAAGTCACCTGAATGAGCAGTTTGCGGTCCTCCTCGATGTTTTTGTGCGTGGTTTCTTGTTCCTGCTTCTGTTCGGTTTTCATCGGCACATTGATGTTAACCCTTAACTTCTTACTGCCGAGAAAACGGGAGACCGACCACTGTCGTTCTAAAGCACAGGTGCTCTCACGGCTTCTTTGCTTTTGATCTTTAAGAAGCCTCTGCTCCCCAAGCCTCATGTCTCCCCCGCCCCCTCCCCCATGGTAGTTTCTGCCACCACCTCTGTGGGGACCTTGGCTCCCAGCAGGCACCAGGCCGCCGCCGCCACATGGTGGCTTCCTGCCTGGCCAGTAACGGGCCTCCATGTCACAGATGTGGTGCCTTCATGTGCTCTCCCAAATTTTGTCAAATGAAACAATCAAGACACTGGGACAGAGGTCCAAACTTTCGCGGCTGGCCATTTATAGCCATTTACAGAGGCGCTTCCCAGCTGGAGAAGGCAGCGGAGGCAGGTGCAAGGTGACCTGGGCCAGCCCCATCCCTGCAGCCAGAGCCCATGCCACGCCAGCCCCCGTCTGCAGGGACGCTGTCCACTTGGTAGATTTTCCTTACTTTTTATAACCGAGATACAACTTTATTAAGGTGTCTGGCTTCAATTCCACCTCATCGACGTTGGCGTTTTCATCTTCCAGGACCTACAGGAGAACAGCTGTTACAATCATCTCAGGAACAGGCCCCCTTCTGGCTCGACATGAACATGCACAAACATACCAGTAACTTCGACTTCAGTAAAATCTGTAGGACTTGTGCCAAAATGTCCTGCAATTAAAGAGAAAAATGTAGGTTAAAGAAGAAAATGCATTTTCCTTTGCAATAAAAACCACACGTGAGACCCCACAGTTGATTTTCGACGGGACACTGCAGTCACCCCCAACTGGAGAAGGTGCCCAGGGAGAAGGAGGTGGTGCTGGGGAGGTCCCCCAAGTCCACTACCGCCAGCGCCTACTGGTCAAAGTGAAGCCAACCCCTCTGTGGCCTTGACCACCTCACAGTAAACACTGCCGATTGGTCATAAATGTCAGAAACCACGCCGATCTCATCTCTGAAACCTACTGGACTATTGGCCCCTTGGCTGCTTGACCGCTCACGGACACGGTCACCACAAAAGCACGCTCTGGAGCTCCCGTGGGACGGCAGAGGACGTGGCTCGCGGGCATGACGGGCTCCGCAGTGGCTGCCCTATCCTCCATCCCTGTGGAAAGCTCTAGGCACCACGTGGGGCCTCTGGCTGAATCCTCGCCTGTGAACGCAGGTGGGTCTCGGCCTCCTCTGTGACCCCATGACGTCGGACAGCACTGCCTGCCCAACTTCAGTCCCCTGGACGACCCCACCTCTACCTCCTACCCTGATGTACAGAACCCCCTTTCCCGCTACCCCCGCCACCTTCACAGACACCTGTTCTGCTCAGGTGACCAGCCCAGACCCCTACCCCCCCCCCACCCGCCCCGAGCAGGATGGGGCCCCTGCTGGCCGCATCGGCCGCACTTCTGAGCCCAGCCTGAGTCCAGGCCTCCTGACGTGACGAGGACTGAGAGGGACTATCACACATAAAGGGACAGATTCCCTCTGCCATTAGAATTGGAAGATGTACTCTGGGCTAACCTGAAGCCTGATCAAAAAATAACATTTTTCCGAGGTGCCTGGGAAAAGTGTCCAGTCGCTAGTTGTCCGATTCTAGGTTTCGGCCAAGGTCAAGATCTCATGGTTCGTGAGTTCGAGCCCCACATGGGGGCTCTGTGCTAGCAGCTTGGAGCCTGCTTGGGATTCTCTCTCTCCTTCTCTGACCCTCTCCCGCTTGCTCACTCAAAATAAACAAACTTAAAAAATACTTTTCTAATTGACATTCAATAAGGGCAGTATTACCCTGTCAGCAAAACCACACAAAAACATCATAAGAAAACAACAGACCAATAACATCTCTATGAACATAAAAATCCTTGAGAAAATACTAGCAAACCGAGCCGCACATAAGAGTATTTTACACATACCACGTGGGGTTTCCCAGGAGGGCAAAGGTGGCAATGTAAGAAAAGCTATCACTATAATGTGCCATGTTAATAGACAAGAAGCATATTTTTATCTCAATAGAGCAGAAAAAGTAGTTTAACAAAATGCAACACTTTTACATCATGAAAAGATTAAAAAAAAAAAAAGATTAGGAAGAAACTTCCCTAATAAAGAGAATCTAAGAAAAAACCTACAGCTATCATCACATTGACCAGTAACTGAAGCTTCCCACCAAGGTCAGGAACAAGGCTGGGATGCCCGTTCTCACCCCCTCTATTCAACACCGTGTGGGAAATGCCAGCCAGGGCAGCCAGGCAAGAAGAGAAAACAAGAGGCGTCCACACAGGAAAAGGAAGGAGTAAAACGAGCTGTATCTGCACAGGACATGATCGTGTATTAGAAAAACCCTAAAGCATCCTCAAAGTGAACAAACAAAAACGTTCAGCCAGGCTGCAAGTTAGAAGATCAATAGGCAATAATCAATCATATTTCCATATCCAGAAATGAACATTTCCATTTCCAACAGTGCCAAACAACACTTGGGAATAAACTGAACTGAAGCGCAGACTTACACACTCAGAACGGAAACACGTGAGAGGAACGGAAGACAAGGTACACAGCGGGAGGCCGCCCGCGCTGGGGACTGAAGGCTTTCCGCCACCAGGCCGGGGACACCCCACAGCAGCCCGCAGTCTCGAGGCGCCTCTGTCACGGCAACAGCTGCCCTCTCTCAGAAACGGACCAGCTAGTCCTGAAATTCACACTGAAGTGCCGGGGACCCACAAGAGCCGACACAACTTTGACAAAGAACAAAGTGGTTTCAGAACTCGCTACAGAGTAAAAGCAAGCAAGACACTGTGCTTCTGTCATAATGACAGACCTACAGACCACTGCACATGAGCCCAGTCACTGACGGCCACCTGGTATTCACCAGGGCAGTCCCCATCAGCAGGGGAAGAGGTCTTTGACCTTGAATCAGGCAATGGCTCTTTAGACATGACACCAAAAGCACACACAACGGAAGAAAAAGGGGCTCCAGGCACAGAATATACACGGAATTCTTACAACTCACTGGTAAGGGCGACCCCTAAAAAAAAACTGGGCATGGGGAAAGGGTCTCAACAGACATTTTTCCAAAGAATATACATAAAAATGGCCAATAAGAACACAAAAAGACACTCAACGTCATCAGTTGTCAGCAAAACGCAAATCAAAACTACCATGAGGTACCACGTCGTACCCATGAGGCTCTAATAACTGTAAGTACAGGAAACGAGGGGCTGCTGGTGCGCACATGAACCGGTGCGGCCACCGTCTGACAGCCCGGCGGTTCCTCAGGAAGTTAATTCAATCATGACTGGAACATTCCACACCTCAGTATATACCCCAGGAAACTGAAAATAGGCTCTTACAAAAACGTGTGCATGAATGTTCCCAGTAGTCTTATTCCTAATAGCCAATGAGAAACAGCCCAAAGGCCCACCAGCTGATGAACAGGGAAACACACTGGTCCATGCGTTCACCGGAATGTATCTCAGCTGTAGAACAGAAGGGACCGGGCCCACACCACCACGTGGAGAAGCCCTGAAAACACGCCAAGGGAAAGGGACACACGCTAGGACACTGCTCAAAGAGCCCAGAGCAGGCGAATCCGGAGGGACAGGAAGGAAGTTAATGGGGTCAGCGGCTGCGGAGAGTAGAGTGGCGGTTCCTGCTAACGGGTTTCTCTTCAGGATGACGGACGTGTTCAGGAATCGGGACAGCGAGGGTGGCTGTACGACCTGGTGACAAACCACTCGACTGTCTACTTTATTTATTTATTTATTTATTTTTTTAAATGTTTTATTTATTTCTAGGAGAGAGAGAGAGACAGTGTGAGCAGGGGAGGGTCAGAGAGAGGGAGTCACAGACTGAAGCAGGCTCCAGGCTCTGAGCTGGCAGTCAGCACAGAGCCCGACGCGGGGCCCGAACCCACGAACCGCGAGATCATGACCTAAGCGAAAGTCGGACTCCCAACCGACTAAGCCACCCAGGCGCCCCCGGACTGTCTACTTTAAAATAGTGAACTGTATATACGTGAAACATAGCTCAATAAGAAACAGGACTAATAAGTAGGAAGAAAGACACTGTAATCAAGTGACACTTAAGCCTAGAAGGAAAAGCGGAGTTGGAAAGAGGGTCAAGAACAGACTAAACGCACGAGCGAAAGCACGCCACGTGTGTACGTGTGAGATCAGAGTGCTCCGCATCGTCTCCCACTCCCTCCCTCCCAGGCTCACAAGACCGAGGGGACGGTAACTGGACACGCCGAAGAGGACAAGCGACGTGAGGATACCATTTTGATCTGAGTGCTGTCCGTCAGCTGCTGCACGGCGTATGCGTCTTCCGTGTTGTACTGAAGCAGGATCGCCATCTGGAAGGTGGAGGCCTTCGAGGCCCCCCATATAAAAGAAAGAGGAACAAAATTTAAATGCATGGAAAAACCTCCAAAAACACATAGCTGAAATCTGAAGAACTTACTTCAGAAACGAATTCTTGCAAAAGAAGCAAAAACTACAGCTGATCTATGTAGAAGGGAACGTGGGGTCACAACTCCACCGCACCGTTCTCCCCAAAGATGTCACTTCCCTCTTTCAAACGTGAAAATAATTTGGAATTTTCTCCTACGACGTTTTGTCTATGTAAATACCCACTATTTATGCATCCACGCTCATTTACATATGCACACATAAAACACACAAATCCTGTGGAGGGGAAAAAACCCTAACAGCAATTTTCCCTCTGCCACATACACACTGGGATCCCGAGAAGGTCGCTAAAATTACCCTGGGCCTCAGCTTCTCCCATAGAACTACAGCAGGAGTCCCACAATCCTTACCACTTAGCACTCAGTACTGCTGAGAGCACCAAGGGTCAATATTAGTAGGAAACTGCTTTGCCAAAGGAAAAGGGCTATTATCATGGTTCAGTACAGGAAACTCCGGCTTTTTGGGCTACACAGTGTGCGTCACGCAGGATCTGTGCCAAATGCTTATTAAACACGTTATTTCACTTAATCTTCACATCACTTCTGAAGCCTGAGCGCTAGCACTCCCATTTTAGGGAGAAGAAAACTGGGGCACCAGCATGTTACCTGCCCCACATCTGACTCTCAGAACCACACTTTGCCGGAAGCTTAACTCTAGACTCTAACGCCCGAGTCATGGGATTCTGATTTCTACACATTTCCTCATTTAGACTAACAATATATATTCCAAAATAGAAATAAGAAAACACATTCCAAAATAGAAAGGTGATCTTACCTGCAAAGTGTATCTATTTTTGAAGCAGTTGGTTACCAGTTCTCCTTTAGACAGCTGATACAGCCACGTCAATTTCCTGCCACTGTGCCGGCTGGCGTAAAAGGCTGTGAATCGCTGGTAACTACGTTCCAGCTGGATGAAAGGATAGACTGTGTGGAGTCTCTGCCTCACCGCAGTCTACAGCCAGCACTTCCACACACACACACACACACACACACACACACACACACTTCCACGGGTTCAGCGCGAAACGCTTATTACATCAAAGTGAAATACAGAAGGTGGGGGCGTGACGCTTGCAGGGCTCGCTCGTCTAAGGCACAAGAGGACTAGGGAAACACATCTCTAACTGGAAGGACGTGGTTATCGCCATGGGGTCCGGCACGGCACCGATGAGGTTCTCTGTCCACGAGCCACCACGCGGGCCGTGTGGTGCCAGGGAGGAGGAGGCCGGCCTCCGCACCCCCCACCCCTGCCGCGGGCTCACGGCCAGGGCCGCCCTTTTCGTTTCTGCCAGGCACTCACAGAACACAAGACGGGCCCCCCTTACCTCTGACGGCAAGGCAAACGTGCAAGACTGCTGGAAAGGCCAGGACCCAGAGCTTAGCACCTGGATGCTGAAGTCCACTGAGGCAGGGGCGAGAGTGGAGAACACGTTAGTCCCACAGACTGGAAAGTGCTGCCGTTCAAACAAATGGGGACTGCTTCGTGTGAAATATACTGGATGAAAACACTCTGCTTCAATATAAAATTAAGAACTGAATATATTCCGGTTAAATGATTTTGCTCCATGAAAAGCAGTAAGAGGTGAAAGGGCCAGAAACTCTTTTCCTCTCAAGAGGGGCCGATTTTTGTTTGGCTTCCGGCTCAGAGCCAGGCCGTCACAGGCCTGCTCCACAGCCCCGAAGCCCCTCCCCCTCCCCCCCCTGCACGGAGAGCATGGCAGGCCCCACTCAGGAAGCCAAATCCCCAGACACAGCTCACTTTGGTGTGTTTCGTGTAGGCCCACTGCTGCGAACATACACACACACGCGCACGTGCGCGCCAACACTACGCATAACACAGACTATAAATCAGAACAAAAATCTCATCATCACCAACAGCTGACAAGTTCACTGGCATAACTGCCAAGTTTAACAATGGAAAAGTGCATCAGCTTTGGGGAAAAACAAAATTTCCATTTTTCATTTGAAAAGACAATATTAGCATGTAATGATGTCCACATCCTCTGCCAACATTCCCTACAGCAGCCCTGACGGGGTGGGGGGTGTACCTGGGAGCGGGTCCTGGCCCCCCACTGGTTGGAGCCATGGGGTCTTTCATTAGTTTGACTCTGTAATCTGTACACAAGTCAGTATCTTATGATTTATTGGCGGGGGGGGGGGGCGGGGAGGGAAGGCTAGAATGGATCCCAGCTAAGGCTAAAGAAATTTATGAAATATCAAACCGTGTGGAGCCCTGAACTGGCAGATGCCCGCGGTGGGGTGGCTGCGCCAGCAAGTGGAGGAGCTCAGGGCTCAGCACTGGGTGCCCTAGAAGAGGCCTGTCTTTTCCTAACTTCACACACAACTCAGGAAGACCACCGGGCATTTGGGAGGCGGCACTTGCTATCTGTCCGTCCCTGAGTTTCTGATAAAGCATCAACCACCCTCACGTGATGCTTTGCCATCTCTCTCGTTTGCCCCAAAGGGCAGGGACTCCCCGAGGAACCCCGCCTGTAAAAGCTGCTGATGAGCGCGTGGGTACTCACAGTCTAGCGGTTCCGAGTTTGTCAGGTGCTTTTTGAATTGCTCATTCAAATCTTTGCTCACACCGATGTCTTGAAACATCCGCTGAAGTTTAGAGGTATATTCAAAACCACAAGCTTGCTGCAACGAACCCAGATAACCGTCTTGTTAATTTCTATTAATAGATATAGTCATGTGTAGAAGGGAATCTGATGGAAATCACACGTGACATATGCTTCACCGTAGAAAACTACTACTGAAGCTAGTAACGTGGAACCCCATCTCAGAGTGTCTGTACGGATTCAAATCAACACACTACCAGAAACGAGTCACACAGGAAGCATCATCTGAGCATCTAAGAGCAAGGATCTCTGAGAGAATACAAAGAGGACACATTTTGTTTACGGCTCTTACCCACTACTGTCGGCTGAAATGGGTGTCCCCCAAACTCCTATGCTGAAGCCCTAAGCCCCAGTGTGATGGTATCTGGGGGAAAGGTCATGGGGAAATGATTACATTTAGATAAGGTCATGAGGACGGGGCCCTCACGATGGGATCAGTGCCCCTGTAACCAGAGACCAGAGTGTGCTGTCTCCCCACCACGTGCGGACACGATGAGAAGGCGGCCGTCACCAGGTTGGGAAGAGAGCCCTCACCAGAAACTCAATCCGCAGGCTCCTCGACCTGGGTCTTCCAGCCTCCAGAACTGGGAGGAGAGACATCTGTGGTATTTTGCTGAGGCAGCTGGAGCAGGATTAGCCACCCACCTAACCGTCGTTACAGGTCCAGGCAAACTGTGTCTAGGACACGCGACAGCGCTCGGCGGGCCAGGAGGCCCTGAGACGAGAGCAGCTGAGGGCAGAGGGGCTGAATGATGGAACGGCTGCTCAACAGTGGATCACATGCTTTCTGTCCCCCTGAGGATCCAACCACAGTGAACCAAACAGCCGCCAACTCAAAGCCGACCAAACACAAGTGTGGGCTGAGCCGCTTGGGCAGTGCCGGGGGGTGCGGGGGGCGGCGTGCGAGATGCTCCGGTGGTGAGGGTGGCACAGCCTGTGCTGTACAAAGCCCGTTATCCAGGGACCACCGACAACCTGCAACAACTAAGATCTTTCATGATTTAAAACCTGTTTTTCCCTTTCAGGAAATGATTACATTTACCTTTAACTTGGAGATCATGCTTGCTTCAGCGTCGTCACTGGCGCTGTTCTGATGCACGAGCCTTTTGGCCAGCATCTTTGCATAGAATTTCTGGAACACGTCTTTATCCTCGATATACTTGAAGACCACCATCTGGCAAAGTCACCAGGAAAGCACACTCAGCACACTGAAACCCACAGTCCCCAAGCACAGCCCGACAGCCGACACGTGTGCTTTGTCCGACCCGTGTGCCAGCGTTCACAATGGAGACAAGCACCACCCAGAGTCTTTAGATAGTTTCATCAACCCCTCAGATCACATTAAGTTGGTCTAGACTTAGCACTGATGAGGAAAGTACAAATGCTAAAATTAATGACTCCGTTTAGGGAGTGAAGTCACAGATCCAAAGAAAAATAAATGATCCCTTTACTGTACACATTTCAGATACCCTGCACAAATAGCTGTGAAAGCCGCAGATAAATGGCTACTGGGAACTGGTGTGGTTTGTAGGCGCCTTACCACTTGGTTGAGTGTGTCTTCTAGCTCTGCTTCTTCTGGGTTCTTGGAACTGAAATGTAAAAAGAAGGCATAGTGTTTCCCAACAAATCGGCCAACTGAGCAAACACCACTTAGCTAATAAGCTAACACACCAGACTGTGGTTGTGAGCACTTGAACACTCAGTTCTGTTTGGATCAGCACATGAAGATGCAGGCCACGTTTCTTACCTATGGCTACGTGGCAATCTTAAGCTGAAACTATCATAGAAGAGCACATTTACAAAATAATCGACGTCCATGATGAAAAGCAACTCAGAAGACACTTAAAATTAAGTTACCCAGACATTCAAGTTTTCCTTGCAGATAATATATTTAAATATAAACAAATAAAAGCCAACTGCTTTCTACAATATGCTTTAACTCTGAAAATATCAAAAAGGCATTTGGATTTTTTAGTGGCCTAATCATTAAAGATAACAAAGGGGTTTCAAGCATGGAAGCACTGCCTCCTCTGGGGTTATGTCTACACAGCTGAGGGTGGTCTTTAACAACTGACTGAGTCATTCTATTCCAGGAACAAGTATTAACTGATAGGTAATTTCAGGGTCAACGAAATTTTTTAGGTTTTATGAGTCCCTCATAGACAGATTCCACATAAATTCATATCGAATGACTCAGCCACCAACCAACCTCTGGAGAGGTGCTTCTACTTAAGAATAGGTGGCTCAGAAAACCCAGCCCTCCCTTCACATGGCCAGGCTGGGGCCGCCGCTCTCTGTGGGAAAGCTTTCGTTCTGGGGCCCACGCGCTCAGGAGGAGCACACGCTTGTGGTGCTCCCCACGGTGTTCCCCTTGGCCTGCCGTCTGTCTGCTGCGCAGCCTCAACCAGGACAGCACAGCACAGCAAGAGACCTGACAGGGGCCCCTTAGGAAAAGGCAGCGCATCAAAGAAGTAAGTGTTCTGCCAAATGAAATGGATATGTAAATAAAACACCGAAAATTTTCACGTAACATAGCCTAACAAAAAAGAAAATGACATCAGGTCAGAAGAGGAATTCCAATTCGAAGTCCATGTTCGAAGTCCCAGAAAGAGTACCTGAATGAATCTGACTAGAACTGCTAACACTGACCCAGAGGACAACCCCAAATACTCCATTGTCACTGGCCTTGGGGAAATGGCTTTCTGGCAAAGTTCAGGAGATAGCTAGTGACCTCATCAAAGGCTTCCCCGAGTCTGTCCGGAAGACCACGCAGTTGTTAGAGCAAGTTACATTAAATTTGCCACCACGGAGCCATAGCTAGAAAGCTGCTGTGTTCTGGAGAACTCTTCTTAGTTCCCTAATAAATTCAGCTTGCCAGCATGTGACTTATGGTTTCCTGAAGCCTATTCTAGGGGAGCCTCGTTTGCAGTGTGTTTCTTGGTACGGGAAGGTATTCTCCATCTTTTCACAAGGCGGTTCCGTGAGCTCTCGAGAGCTGCTTATTTTATTAACAGCAAAACCGCGTGCAGGCAGGGACAATGCCTGCAGCGCCATTTGCTGAGGGGTTTCTGAGGGTCTCTGGAAAAGCCAAACAAGCCTTGAGCAAGCACTTCTGAACCAAGAGAGGCTGTCAAAGTGGACGAGACGCCGAGAAAACCCCAACAGGTGCACATGACCCGGAGTGTGAGACGCACAAGGCACAGAGAGCCACACCAGGCACGCGGCTTGCGCTCACTGCACACGCGCGAGCAGAGGGAGGAGCAGGGGAGAACCCTGGTGGCTGAACGAGAAAGAACACGAGGGGCCCCTGGCTGGCTTAGTTGAAGAGCCTACGAGTCTTGATCTCGGGGTGATGAGTTCAAGCCCCACGTGGGGTGTAGAGATTACGTAAATAAACAAACCTAAAAAAAATATATATAGAAAGTAGAGAACGGCAATAAAACGGTCATTAAATGAGGACAGAGATCAGAAGCGCACAGAGAATGCACGTGCCACAGTTACGGCAAGTCCCGTTCCAGGAACGGCCAGTGGGAGCAGAGCTCCTGAAGCAGCCTCGCCTGGAAATACATTGAGCGGGGCCCGAAGGGAAGAGGGGGGGCGGCCACGGGACAGACGCTTCCTTTCTGCGTCCCTTCCACCCTGCTGACCACTGCATGGCCCACCCGTGGAACCTTATTCAGCTAAAGGGGCCGTGCTGCCTGCCGTTCTCAAAGTCAACCCAACAGTGACCTTAAGAAAAATGAACTGGGCCTAGAATATAGACTTGAAGTATCTTTTAAAGAGACAAGGAAGATGAATGGTTTAAAGTATATTCTCAACAGGCATGTAAATTGCAACATAATGTAAGTGAAATGTAATATAAAGTTTAATTCCTCATGTATAAGCTGAGACTTTAAATAGGTTTACTAAGAATAAAACACAATGTCACTTAATACCTTTTCTTCAACAAGGAGTCGCAGTATCGGGCCAGCAACTCGGGGGATTTACTGGACGACTGGGCCATTTTGGTAACTGCATTGTTGTTGATGAAGCGACCACAGGCCTGTGGAGGACACAAAACACGGTCAGAGGCCACGCCCTGGCCACCTGCGTCACAGGAGAGCCTCCCGATGACAGACCCACCTTGTCCAGCGCGGCCACAAAACCAGCGTCGTTATTGAACGCCGACATCACCAGGGCATTGTATTTTTTGTGAACATCCAACACTGTCTGTACATACATTTTGGGGTCCTTGAGTGGGGGAAACAGAAACAAAAGCTGGTTACTGGGGATTAAGTGGTATATTAACAGGTTACTATAAAATATTCCGTAAGGTTTAGAAATTTCTTCAAAGATGTCAACAAAGATCAAGTGAGTTCTGGTTCCATCATCAAAACACAGAAGGCATTTTGTTTATAGGCACATAAGGAAAGAAAATATACATTCTCCATGTTTGAAATTAAATACTGATTTCAAGCTTTGTATAAAAGTGATTTCTCAAATTATTTGAAAATTCAAAGGATCACAGAAAACAAAAGTTTTCAAAGTGATTGTTTGCTCAGCCCATTTTTGCTGTTATTGAAAATTCAAATTCTGGACTTTGCCGGGCAAACCCATCAGCCAGTCAGCTCAGTAGTCAGCCTGTGATCCTGTACTTGGCTGGGCGGGAGATGTGAGAACAGCATAGGATTAAGGCTGGAGAAACTGTGGGCAAGGGCGTGAGGATCAGATGCGGCAGAGAAGGACTGCCTCGCACATGCCACCAACCTCATGGGACGGGACAGGCCAGGGCCCAGGAGACAGGCAGGGGATGGGGGGACTCAGTGGGGCGGGCACCTGGGAGTTCTGGACAAAGAAACAAGTAACAGCAATGCAATGGAATGATGAGCCACAGACAGGCCCTGGGAACGACACACAAGGCAGACAAGGAGGCCGGGGAAGCTGGGGGTGAGGGTGTGGGGAAACAGAGAGGAGGGGGAAGCCAGGGAGGAGGGGGAGGAACAGGGAGGATGAGAAGGGCGGGGACACAGAGGAGACCAGCCTCAGTGATAACCACAGAATGGCTGATGCTGGGGCCTCACCGCAGGCCAGCGTTGCGGAGTCCCACGAGGGGACTGTCACAGCCCCAGTGTGAGGCCTGTGCCGTCTGCACTCCCACTTGACAGGTGAGAAAACTATGTCAGTTGGGCATCTGGCCACGGACTTTAGGGATGGCAGTAAAGCCTGACCCCAGGCAGCATGACTTCCGGACTGGGACCAGACAGAGCAGGGGTGGCGTGGACAGACGGCTCCAGGGGTATGCGGCACATGGACATGCTGGGAGGCCCCAGGGTGCGGGGCTTAAAGGGCTGCAGGTGTTTGCAAATTTCTGACACATATTAGTTCTCAGGATTCAGAAATGAGAAACTAGAATTCCCCAAGTTTAATTATTCTGCATCTTGTAATACCTTTAAAATATTTATTTTGGGCAGAGAGCAAGTGGGGGAGGGGCTGAGAGAAGGGCACAGAGGATCCAAAGCGGGCTCTGCACTGACAGGCTGAGAGCAGCAAGCCTGATGTGGGGCTCAGACTCAGGGACTGTGAGATCATGACCTGAGCTGAAACTGGACGCTCAACTGACTGAGCCACCCAGGAGCCCCCATCTTGTAATACTCTTTAAAAAAAAAAAAAAAAAAGAATGAGCACTGAGATCAAATCATTTTTATGTGATAGGATCTGACTAGAATTTCACAGGTCCTCTGTTAAAAAAAATATAATAAAAATTCAGTTTCTTATTATAATGAATACACCGTGATGAGGCTATACTTTTAACATGTAAAGTGGCCTCTACCTGATATACTAGTAAGAGAAAATGTTAAAGGGGAACAGGAAATAACTGCCAAATAAAAATTGTCTAAAATATTGGAAATTATCACATATATGTAAGATCTAAAAATTATCTACCTTTAAATGTTACAACACAGCATTAACTGCCCTGTCAGATAATCTTGTTTCTTTCATGACAACTATTCCAGATGTAGAAAAATGCCTCCCATTTTGCACTGATAGTCTTAATCCACAGCTGCCTCCATAGGAATCTTCCAATCGGCAAACACCTTACTTCGTATTAACTCATATCTTCTTTTAACAATGAAAATAGCGTCTGCCTGACTTAGTCTTGGGTTTGCCACGAAACGGATATTGCTTCTCGCTCATTTAGGTTTTAGATTCCTTTCTGATTTCATGTCAAATGATCTCACAGTGTGCACGTGTTTTTCCTTTGCACGTCTTCTGTTAAAAGTATTTACAAAGAACTTGAGCCTACAGCTCAAGCACAGGAGAATACCATTAAGTATCGTTAGGTAGTATTTGAATAAGGTAATATTCAAGGTTAAGGTCAACAGCATTATAAAGAATCATGTCAAAACTGCCAACGTAAGCACCTACTTTGCTTCCGACTTGCGCTGTTTCTTGGAACATCACTCAAGAGGATTTACATGAAGCATATTATATAAACATACTAACAAGGAACTTTATCTGTAGGAACGGTGCCCTCAGCAGCCAAGGGGGGCACACACACGTGTAACCCGGCATCGCCCACAGAGACCGCCGCGTCTCCAGCACGGGCAGTCACCGCCGTTCCCAGAGACACCTTAACCTCGGACTCTGTAAGCGCCCCCCGCCCTTGCCTTCCGTGAACTCTTGTGAACCAGGAGTGTCTATGTGGCCCATCGTGCTTGCAGGGGATTATGCTTTTCTCCGTTTCCAACAGTTCTTTAACAATTTTTCAAAGATTCAGAATTTGGAACATAAATGTCCCATGAAATGCCAGGAAGCAACTCCCCCCCATGGAAAGGCACATTAGACATGGCTTCCCCAAGGACACAGGAGTTCTCGGACTCCGATCCCAAGATTCTTTCTACGACAGGAGACCCAGCCAGGAGTGGCGCAGGTGAGAAGTGAGGGTCTGACAGGAGCCCATGGAGGGAAAAGTACGAAGCAACCACCCTGGAAGTCTGCAGACAGACACGCGCGGGAGCAACAGAGCACGGAGGTGCTTTGGAGGACCCCCTAGATCGCAGGGTTCAAGAGCAACAGAGGTGAGGACAGAGGACAGAGTGGCTCAAACAAATGCATGTTCTTTAGGAAACTTACTACCCTCCCTTGGCGGTTTCACGGGGTTCCCAGACTCTGTACGGTGGAGCTGCCCGGGTCCCCTCCCTGAACCTGCCTCTCTTCCAGATCTCTCTCTTTCCATTTCCTCTCTTTCAGTGTTCTATTTGTAAAACAATTCATATCTCTGCAAAATCACAAAGCATAGTAAAATATACTCTATGAACCACCGTCCTGCATCAGCAATGTCGGAGCACAAACTCTGATCCCTCAGAGTCTAAGTGCCTCATTCCTCCTTCTCCCCAGCCCCAGCCTGCTCACCCAAACACACCTCGCCGCACACTCACACTCTTCTTCCTTTTAAGCCAGTTTCCACACAGTATAGATTGTTTAAAAAATAAAAATCTGATGGTATCAATTTCATGTTTGTTGCAACCCAGACCTGGTTTCCTCTTGCCCTTAGGACTAAGGTGGTATCATTAATATGGCGTTCAAGGCCTCCTGGCCTGGCTAGCCAGTGCCTACCCTTCCTTCTCACTACCCTGGGCCACCTTCCCTTCTTCTCAAGTCGGACCAGAACTGTGGGTTGTCAGAATGGGTCATGTTTATACTCGCTTTGTTCTGTCTAGGACCCCCTCCCCCCTGCCACTTATTTGTTCACTTCAACTCTCCCTCTGGTCTTAAAGACTATCTCAGGGAAGCTCTGGGAACGTGCAGGACAGTGCAGGCCTCCCGTTACCACACAGCACCCGAGCCCCCCCCGCCCCGGCCCCCCGGCATGCCAATCATACTTGTGAGTCGTTGCTACAGGCAGCCTCCCCTGCCGGGCGTGAGCTCCACCGAGCCCGCCAGGGCCATGCCCACCTTGCTTATAAGCACGGAGCGCAGTGGCATTCACCAACTCTCCCTAAACAGCTGAATCAGAAACCAGGATAATCCGGACTGGATACTACCTTTCATCCCATACATATCCACTGAGGAAATTCTTCTAAGGACCAATTTCACAGAAAGAAACCCACGTAGCCTCATTTCCACGTCACCTCACCCCATCTCACTGCAAGCAGCGCAGCACAGCAAGCGAGGAGGTCTGGGGGCGTCACTTCACAGACAGATGGTCTCTGTCAGGGCAGACTTCGCGGGATCCCCTGCAATCCTAACATTCAAACGTGGCCAGAAGAGGTACACTGGGTTGTGACAGGCTCAAGGGGCCACCTTCCCCGTTTCAGGTATGTGAGTCGGTGCTCTCCAAGCCGGCAGCAGCTGTGAGCCAGCCCAGAAACATGCTCTCCCCCAGAGCGAGCTCTGCCTGGCACGCACATCTCCCTTCCAGCTTGGCTAAGACTAAGGTCCATTCCAGGAGCTTTCCGAGAGCCTCTGAGAATGGTCAGTCATCACCACCGACCAGGGTGTGTGGGGCCCTGCTAGACACTGTGTCTACACCCTCACCTTGAGCTCATTATTCTTCAAGAAGGAAAAGAAATGAAGTCTCCATGAATAAAACCACACCATGCAATTATTTGGAGGCAGAGTAATTCTTCCCCCTATGCATTAGCACTTGGTCCTTGGAGAACATCATCTCCACACCCAATGCAGAGAAGCCAAAGTTTCAGGAAAGGAACAATCACAAACCACCAACTACATAGAAGAGCAGGGAAGAGTCTGTGGGCACACAAATTATCCGCTGTGACCACCACCTGTGGGCGGGGCGGCTTTAACCCCAGACTGGCTTTCCCCCTTCCTCCTGTGTCTGAGGTGTTCCCTCCTCTAGGAGTCTCCGTGCACTCAGGGAGTAAGGCTGAGTTTTGCAGTAAATAATAGACAAACCCCGAAACACTGGAGACAACAGAGGTGCCTCACACCATCCAGCGATGGGATAGTCTCGCATTTTCTTACTGGGTTTTTTTCTGCTCCATCGTCTAACCTCTTCCGATAAGCAGAAATCACCAGTTGTTCTGAGCGTGGTTTAAAGCTGAAAACACCAAGACAAAACCCTACCAATTTACCCAGTGCGCCGTGCTCTCATCACCGTAACTTCTGTCCACCCGCTACTTTTTGCTTCAATCGTATATACTGATCTTGTAATCATGGCTTTGATTCCAGTTACAAAACTAGGGGGGATTTTCAGCACTGCGCCCCTGGTTCCTCCCCTGGATCTGAGC